GCAATTAATTGCAAAGTCCCACTTTGCCATGAAAATGAACTTAATCCCAAAAAAACATTTCCACTGCATTTCAGCCCTGACACAAAAGGACCAGCTGCCATCATGTCAGTGATTCTCTCGTTAACACAGGTGAGAGTGTTGACGAGGACAAGGCTGGAGATCACTCTGTCATGCTGATTGAGTTAGAATAACAGACTGGAAGCTTTAAAAGGAGGGTGGTGCTTGAAATCATTGTTCTTCCTCTGTTAACCATGGTTACCTGCAAGGAAACACATGCCGTCATCATTGCTTTCCACAAAAAGGGCTTCACGGGCAAGGATATTGCTGCTAGTAAGATTGCACCTAAATCAACCATTTATCGGATCATCAAGAACTTCAAGGAGAGAGGTTAAATTGTTGTGAAGAAGGCGTCAGGGCGCCCAAGAAAGTCCAGCAAGCGCCAGGACCATCTCCTAAAGTTGATTCAGCTGCGGGATCGGGGCACCACCAGTGCAGAGCTTGCTCAGGAATGGCAGCAGGCAGGTGTGAGTACATCTGCACGCACAGTGAGGCGAAGACTTTTGGAGGATGGCCTGGTGTCAAGAAGGGCAGCAAAGAAGCCACTTCTCTCCAGGAAAAACATCAGGGACAGACTGATATTCTGCAAAAGGTAGAGGGGTTGGACTGCTGAGGACTGGGGTAAAGTCATTTTCTCTGATGAATCCCCTTTCCGATTGTTTGGGGCATCCGGAAAACACCTTGTCCAGAGAAGACAAGGTGAGCGCTACTATCAGTCCTGTGTCATGCCAACAGTAAAGCATCCTGAGACCATTCATGTGTGGGGTTGCTTCTCAGCCAAGGGGGTGGGCTCACTCACAATTTTGCCTAAGAACACAGCCATGAATAAAGAATGGTACCAACACATCCTCCGAGAGCAACTTCTCCCAACCATCTAAGAACAGTTTGGTGACGACTAATGCCTTTTCCAGCATGATGGAGCACCTTGCCATAAGGCAAAAGTGATAACTAAGTGGCTCGGGGAACAAAACATCGACATTTTGGGTCCATGGCCAGGAAACTCCCCAGACCTTAATCCCATTGAGAACTTGTGGTCGATCCTCAAGAGGCAGGTGGACAAACAAAAACCCACAAATTCTGACAAACTCCAAGCATTGATTATGCAAGAATGGGCTGCCATCAGTCAGGATGTGGCCCAGAAGTTAATTGGCAGCATGCCAGGGCGGATTGCAGAGGTCTTGAAAAAGAAGGGTCAACACTGCAAATATTGACTCTTTGCATAAACTTAATGTAATTGTCAATAAAAGCCTTTGACACTTATGGAATGCTTGTAATTATACTTCAGTATACCATAGTAACATCTGACAAAAATATATCATAACACTGAAGCAGCGAACTTTGTGAAGACCAATATTTGTGTCATTCTCAAAACTTTTGACCACGACTGTAGTTTTTTGTTATCACATGTTGCTTCACATGTCACGTTATCACATTAACTTCACATCAAATCACGTGATCACATGAGATCACATGAGATTACACAAAATCACGTGTTCACGTGAAATTCATGTGGTTTATCCATAATGGTAGGCAGCAATTTTCAAGTCTTGCCATAGCTTTTCAAGCAGATTTAAGTCAAAACTGTAACTTGGACACTCAGGAACATTCACTGGCTTCTTGGTAAGCAACTCCTTGGGTTGTTTGGCCTTGTGTTGTGGTTATTGTCCTGCTGAAAGGTGAATTCCTCTCCCGGTCTCTGGTTTAAAACAGACTGAAGCAGGTTTTCTTCTAGGATTTTGCCTGTGCTTAGCTCCATCCCATTAATTTTTATCCTGAAAAACTCCCCAGGATTTGCCGATGTCAAGCATACCCATACAATTATATAGCCACCACAATGCTTGAAAATAAGGAGGCAGTTACTCAGTGATTTGCCCCAAACATAAGGCTTTGCATTTAGGCCAAAAATGTAATTCCTTTGTCTGTTTTTTCAGCATTACCTTGGTGCCTTGTTGCATACAATATGCATATTGTCACGCCCTGGCTCTGGGGACACTGTTATGTTGAGCCAGGGTGTGTATTCTATGTTTGTATTTCTATGTTGGCCTGAGTGACTCCCAATCAGAGGCAACGAGTGTCAGCTGGTTGTCTCTGATTGGGAGCCATATTTAACTGTCTGTCTTTCACTTTGTGTTTGTGGTTTCTTGTTCGTGTTGGTTTGTGTTTAAACCATAGACGTCACGTTTTTCGTTTGTTGTTTTGATCGTGTGATCATTAAATAAATATAAATATGTTCACCTGCAACGCTGCGCCTTGGTCTCTCCCTGACGATCGTGACAGAAGAAACCACCAAGATGTGACCAAGCAGCGTGTCCAGGAGCCATCGCCAGGGAGATCCCTAACAGATCTCCTTCGCCTCCTCGACTGGGTCAAGCCGAGTGAGGAAGAGAAGGGCTTGACATTATGGCAGAAGGGCGAAAGGCTGGCGAGGGACATGGAGACCTGGTCCACGGGTAGGGGAGACGCCCAGAAATTTTTTAGGGGGGGGCTAACGCCGTGGACGACGGGCCAGCAGGAGACCGCGGCAGAGCGGCCCAGCGGATTGGCAGAGGAGGCCGCCAGGTTACGGGGGCCACTGGTCGAAGAGGGGGTGGAAGATGTAGAGGCACGGCGAGAGGTACTGGCGTGTGTTGCCAGTCCGGTCCGGCCTGTTCCTGATCCCCACGTAGGGCCAGTGGTGTGTGTTCCCAGTACGGTCCGGCCTGTTCCTGCCACTCGCACCAAGTCTACGGTGCGCATCGCCAGCCCGGTCCGGCCCGCTCCTGCTCCCCGCACCAAGTCAGTGGTGCGCGTCGTCAGCCCTGTCCGGCCCGTTCCTGCTCTCCGCACCAAGTCTGTGGTGCGCGTCGCCAGCCCAGTCCGGCCCATTCCTGCTTCCCGCACCAAGTCTGTGGTGCGTCTCGTCAGCCCGGCTCGGCCCGTTCCTGCTCTCCGCACCAAGTCAGTGGTGCGCTTCGTCAGCCCGGCTCGGCCCATTCCTGCTCCCCGCACCAAGTCTGTGGTGCGTTTCGTCAGCCCTGTCCGGCCCGTTCCTGCTCTCCGCACCAAGTCTGTGGTGCGCGTCGCCAGCCCAGTCCGGCCCATTCCTGCTCCCCGCACCAAGTCTGTGGTGCGTTTCGTCAGCCCTGTCCGGCCCGCTCCTGCTCCCCACACCAAGCCAGTGGTGTGCGTCGTCAGTCCAGCACGGCCCGTGCCTGTTCCCCACACCAAGCCAGTGGTGTGCGTCGTCGGTCCGGCACGGCCCGTGCCTGTTCCACTGGTGCCTGGTCTGGCACCGGTCAGATGCGTTACGCCGGAGCTAGAGCAATCCGCTCCATCAGTGTGCAGTCCAGCTCCGGCCAGCGGGGCCAGACCGGACCAGGGGTACTTTGGGGGGTTGGAGAGGGAGTGGGGATCAGGCCCGGAGCCGGATCCGCCGCCAAGGCGGAGTGCCCACCCGGTCCCTCCCCTGTGGTATTTAGTTGGCGCGGTCGGAGTCCGCGCCTTTAGGGGGGGGTACTGTCACGCCCTGGCTCTGGGGACACTGTTATGTTGAGCCAGGGTGTGTATTCTATGTTTGTATTTCTATGTTGGCCTGAGTGACTCCCAATCAGAGGCAACGAGTGTCAGCTGGTTGTCTCTGATTGGGAGCCATATTTAACTGTCTGTCTTTCACTTTGTGTTTGTGGTTTCTTGTTCGTGTTGGTTTGTGTTTAAACCATAGACGTCACGTTTTTCGTTTGTTGTTTTGATCGTGTGATCATTAAATAAATATAAATATGTTCACCTGCAACGCTGCGCCTTGGTCTCTCCCTGACGATCGTGACACATATTTGTATTATTTTCACTCATTATTGTGGAGTCACTACAATGTTGTTCATCCATCCTCAGTTTTCTCCCATCACAGCCATTGAACTCTGTGGCTGTTTTAAAATCACCAATGGCCTCATGGTAACATCCCTGAGCAGTTTAATTCCTGTCCAGCAGCTCAGTTCAGAAGGACGACTGTATTTTTGATGTGTCTGGGTGGTTTACCTAATCCACAGCATAACTATTAACTTGACCATGTTTAAAGAGATATTCCATTTCTGATTTGGTATTGTTACCCATCTACCAATCACTGCCTGTCTTTATGAGGCTTTTGAAAAGCTCCCTGGTCTTTGTAGTTGAATCTGTGCTCAAAATGCAATACTTGACTGAGGGACATTACAGATGTTGTATGTATAGGGGACAGAGGAAGGGTTGATAATCAAAAAATCATGTCAACCCTTATTATTTCACACAGACTGAGGCCATGTAATTTATTATGTGAGTTATTAAGCCACATTCTACTCCTGAACTAATTTAGGCTTGCCTAAACAAAGGGGTTGAATACTTATGCAACGACTCTATTTAGTTATGATTTTCTTTATTTATATATATTTTTTTAAATAAACATCTTCCACTTTGACATTACAGAGTATTATGTGTTGATTGTTGACAAAAAATTACAAATACATCAATTTTAATAGAGAGCAATCGAAATAGGACAGAAGTCGAGTTTCGAAAGCAGTTGTAAGAGGTTTTTGGTTCATAGTATGTACAAGGGACCTTCTGATAGGAAAGGGAGAGATAGAGACACGTAATAGGTGCGGTCTGTGGTTGGCAAACTACTTTTAATGAACTCATATGGAGGAATACTTCATTGGGATCATATATTTTGAATACTGCATTAATAACATTAAGAGGATGGTAAATCTATCAGGGCTTTGGTCGAAGAGGTCTAGCAGCAAAATCAGTTTCCCAAATAGCGACCAATTCCTACCAATGTACTTGGTCTTGGCTTAAGACTATACCGAGTTATGGCAAAAATTTGACTTGTTCATTTGACAAGTGGGTCACCAAATACCCCAAAACACTTCAGGTGGATCATGGGCATGGCACAATACAGGATCAGAAACCATTGGTTTGGAAAGCTCTTCGGTATCTCAGATAGTGCTCTCACTGTCCCTGTCCAGATCATCTTTGTTCTTAAAGATGCTGACCATGGCATGTCTATTGGGATTGTTGTTCCCGTTGGCCTCCAGGGCTGTAGCCTTGGCCTGGCTTCGCAGTACCAACTTCTTCTGCCGCTTGGACAGCTGCCAGTACAGCACCCCCCACAGCAGGTAGGCCAGGCTGTATAGACCATAGATCAGACCCAGGAACGTTTCTACAGGGGAGAGAAGGGACATAGGTTATAATAAAGTCCATCCATCCATCCATTTATCAGTTGAGTTCAGTTGACTGTACCTGAATGCATGTGAGTCGTAGAGTCTGCATGCTCCTTGACCCCCACATCGCTTTAAACCCCACTTCAGACACGTCCTGTCAATCAAAGCTCCAAAGTATATAGGAGGAAGGATTCCACCTGCAAACACACACACAAGTTACTGAAGTGTTTTACTTTCTCAAGTTCCTTAACCATAGAAATTGAAGGAAAATATAACATTTCGAGAATGTTCCACAAGGTTCTAAGAGTGTTCATACCCTCCACAAACTCATCTTACTTACCCAGAGTTCTGACTATCAATGTCTGCATGCCAAGAGCCAGTGATTTTAAATCGGGGTGTATAGATCTGAAACAAAACAAAAGCAACACATTGAGGGTAAACAAAGCTTGCAAACAAAATCAATACAAAAGTGATTGCAATCACAGGTGGGCAGTTCCAGTGGTGTAAAGTACTTAAGTAAAAATACTTGAAAGTACTACTTAAGTAATTTTTGGGGGTATCTGTACTTCACTATATATATTTTTGACAAGTTTTACTTCACTACATTCCTAAAGAAAATCATTTACTTTTTACTCCATACATTTTCCCTGACACCCAAAAGTACTCATTACATTTTGAATGCTTAGCAAGACCGGAAAATGGTCCAATTCGCACACTTATCAAGAGAACATCCCTGGTCATCCCTACTGCCTTTGATCTGGCAGAGTCATTAAACCAGTGGTGGAAAAAGTACCCAATTGTCATACTTGAGTAAAAGTAAAGATACCTTAATAGTAATGACTCAAGTAAATGTGAATCACCCAGTAAAATACTACTTGAGTAAAAGTCTAAAAGTATTTGGTTTGAAATATACTTAAGTATCAAAAGTAAATGTAATTGCGAAAATATACTTACAGTGGGGGAAAAAAGTATTTAGTCAGCCACCAATTGTGCAAGTTCTCCCACTTAAAAAGATGAGAGAGGCCTGTAATTTTCATCATAGGTACACGTCAACTATGACAGACAAATTGAGGGAAAAAAATCCAGAAAATCACATTGTAGGATTTTTTATGAATTTATTTGCAAATTATGGTGGAAAATAAGTATTTGGTCACCTACAAACAAGCAAGATTTCTGGCTTTCACAGACCTGTAACTTCTTCTTTAAGAGGCTCCTCTGTCCTCCACTCGTTACCTGTATTAATGGCACCTGTTTGAACTTGTTATCAGTATAAAAGACACCTGTCCACAACCTCAAACAGTCACACTCCAAACTCCACTATGGCCAAGACCAAAGAGCTGTCAAAGGACACCAGAAACAAAATTGTAGACCTGCACCAGGCTGGGAAGACTGAATCTGCAATAGGTAAGCAGCTTGGTTTGAAGAAATCAACTGTGGGAGCAATTATTAGGAAATGGAAGACATACAAGACCACTGATAATCTGCCTCGATCTGGGGCTCCACGCAAGATCTCACCCCGTGGGGTCAAAATGATTACAAGAACGGTGAGCAAAAATCCCAGAACCACACGGGGGGACCTAGTGAATGACCTGCAGAGAGCTGGGACCAAAGTAACAAAGCCTACCATCAGTAACACACTACGCCGCCAGGGACTCAAATCCTGCAGTGCCAGACGTGTCCCCCTGCTTAAGCCAGTACATGTCCAGGCCCGTCTGAAGTTTGCTAGAGTGCATTTCGATGATCCAGAAGAGGATTGGGAGAATGTCATATGGTCAGATGAAACCAAAATAGAACTTTTTGGTAAAAACTCAACTCGTCGTGTTTGGAGGACAAAGAATGCTGAGTTGCATCCAAAGAACACCATACCTACTGTGAAGCATGGGGGTGGAAACATCATGCTTTGGGGCTGTTTTTCTGCAAAGGGACCAGGACGACTGATCCGTGTAAAGGAAAGAATGAATGGGGCCATGTATCATGAGATTTTGAGTGAAAACCTCCTTCCATCAGCAAGGGCATTGAAGATGAAATGTGGCTGGGTCTTTCAGCATGACAATGATCCCAAACACACCGCCCGGGCAACGAAGGAGTGGCTTCGTAAGAAGCATTTCTAGGTCCTGGAGTGGCCTAGCCAATCTCCAGATCTCAACCCCATAGAAAATCTTTGGAGGGAGTTGAAAGTCCGTGTTGCCCAGCGACAGCCCCAAAACATCACTGCTCTAGAGGAGATCTGCATGGAGGAATGGGCCAAAATACCAGCAACAGTGTGTGAAAACCTTGTGAAGACTTACAGAAAACGTTTGACCTGTGTCATTGCCAACAAAGGCTATATAACAAAGTATTGAGAAACTTTTGTTATTGACCAAATACTTATTTTCCACCATAATTTGCAAATCAATTCATAAAAAAATCCTACAATGTGATTTTCTGGAAAAAAAAATTCTCATTTTGTCTGTCATAGTTGACGTGTACCTATGATGAAAATTACAGGCCTCTCTCATCTTTTTAAGTGGGAGAACTTGCACAATTGGTGGCTGACTAAATACTTTTTTTCCCCACTGTAAGTATCAAAAGTAAAAGTATAAATAATTTCAAATTCCTTATCTTAAGCAAACCAGAGGCACCATTTTCTTTTTTTTATTATTATTTACGGATCGCCAGGGGCACACTCCAACACTGAGACATAATTTACAAATGAAACATTTGTGTTTAGTGAGTCTGCCAGATCAGATGCACTAGGGATGACCAGGGATGTTCTCTTGATAAGTGTAAATTGGACCATTTTCCTGTTCTGCTAACTAGTACTTTTGGGTGTCAGGGAAAATGTATGGAGTAAAAAGTACATTATTTTCATTAGGAATGTAGTGAAGTAAAAATAAAAGTTGTCAAATATAAACAGTAAATAAAGTACAGATACCACAAAAACGACTTAAGTAGTACTTTAAAGTATTTTTACTTTAGTACTTTACACCACTGCACTAAACACAAACGCTTCATTTGTAAATTATGTCTGAGTGTTGCGTGCCCCTGGCTATCTGTAAATAAATAAATAAAATATATATTTTGCCATCTGATTTGCTTAATTTGAAATTATTTATACTTTTACTTTTGATACTTAAGTATATTTTACCAATTACATTTACTTTTGATTCTTAAGTATATTTCAAAACAAATATTTTTAGACTTTTACTCAAGTAATAGTTTACTGGGTGACTTTCACTTTTACTTGAGTAATTTTCTATTAAGGTATCTTTACTTTTACTCAAGTATGACAATTGGGTACTGTTTCTACAACTGGGCAGTTCCATCCATCCTATTGTCTTGTTTTACCTGAGCAGGACGATATATCCAGATGTGCCCCCACAGTCAGAGACGAAGGCCCCCAGGACAGAGACAGCCATGTAGAACTTAATCATCCTGTCACAGTCACTCTTCCTGGGGCACTGGCCCAAGATCACTGACATGTTGGTTGGTAGAGCCAACATTTTCCCCTTCAGCTCCCCCATACATGTGCAGTAATGGAACTCCTGTGGAGGAGAGGGAGAAGATAGAAAAACAGAAGGAGAAACAGTGACTTTAAATTCATCAAAGTTGGTTATGGGTTCGACCCACAGGGTGTGCAGGTTTTTGCTCCAGCCCGGTACTAACACACCTGATTGTGTGGTATAGTATATAACATTCAGAAGTGTTCACTGGAGTTCTACACTCATATGTTATCCTTATGGACACACATAGTGTTCCTAAAGAGAGTATTGTGTTTTAAAAGTGAGATCTACTGTATGTGTAAATAAACAAGGTAGGAGGAGTTGAGAGTAACTAAGAACACATTTAGACATTTAGTCATGAGATGTCTCACCATCTCCTTGCCTACGCCAATGGAGGTCTGGCAGCCAGCAAGACAGGGGGAGGCGTAGGTCATGCCATTGCTGGCACACACAGGGTCCCAGTGTTTCAGGGAACAGGAGCAGCCCATATTACACTGAGACAGCAAGCTCTCCTGCTGGTAAGACACCTCTGGAGCCCTGGGAGACAAAGGTAACAATGTAGCTATGAGTCAAAAGCATGACAATGTTTTGTGTTAACTGTTTTATATGGCAGTGCATAGATAATGAAGACAAAGATCAAAGTTTGTATTTTGTTATCTTATATTATCTAATTTAGTAGCAATAGCAATAGCAATAGTCAAGCGAAATCAGATTTTGTAGCAATCAAATATAATATTTGATGAAGCACACTCACACTGTGCTTTAGGCCTTCTCTTAGAATCAGTGTATAAACAGTAAGTCTCTAGCTATTACAACATTTCTACTAAATAATTTACTCTATTAACGTAATATGAACTAGAGTACATGTATTTACCCTTGGTAGGACAACACTGTAGGAAGTATTGGATGAGCAGGAGGCAGAAGGAGAGGAACTAACCTTAACCCAACATTACTTTATTTACAGTGCTTTCAGAAAGTATTCATACCCCTTGACTTATTCCACATTTTGTTGTGTTACAGCCTGAATTCAAAATGGATTAAATACATTTGTTCTACACACAATACTCCATAATGACAAAGTGAAAACATGTTTTTAGACATTTTTGCAAATGTATTGAAAATTAAATATCTAATTTACATAAGTATTCCCACCCCTGAGTCAATACTTTGTAGATGCCTCTTTGGCAGCAATTACAGCTGTGAGTCTTGCTGGGTAAGTCTCTAAGAGTTTTCCACACCTGGATTGTGCAACATTTGCCCATTATTATTTTCACGCTCTTTCAAATTGGTTGTTGATCATTGCTAGACAACCATTTCCGGGTCTTGCCACTCAGGAACATTGGCTCATGGTGAAATCCCTGAGTGGTTTCCTTCCTCTCCGGCAACTGAGTTAGGAAGAACACCTGGGTCTTTGTAGTGACTGGGTGTATTGATACAGTATCCAAAGTGTAATTAATAACTTTACCATGCTCAAAGGGATATTCAATGTCTGCTTTTTTTACTTTTACCCATCTACCAATAGGCGCCCTGCTTTGCGAGGCATTGGAAAAACCTCCCTGGTCTTTGTGGTTGAATCTGTGTTTGAAATTCACTGCTGGACTGAGGGATCTTACAGATAATTGTATGTGTGGGGTACACAGATGAGGTAGTCATTCATAAATCATCTTAAACACTATTATTGCACACAGAGTGAGTCCATGCAACTTATTATGTTGACTTGTTAAGCAAATTTGTGCTACTGAACAAATTTAGGCTTGACATAAAAAAGGGGTTGAATACTTATTGACTCAAGATATTTCTGCTTTTCGTTTTTTGTAAACATTTTGAAAAACATAATTCCACTTTGACAATATAGGGTATTGTGTGTAGGCCAGAAAAAAAATCTGAATTTGATCCATTTTAAATTCAGGCTGTAACACAACAAAATGTGGAAAAAGTCAAGGGGTATGAATACTTTCTGATAGCACTAGCATATTATGAACTACAGTGCTTACCCTTTATAGGTCATGGTGAGGCCAGCCACCTCTGAGTTTTCACACTGTAGGAAGTACTGGATGAGCAGGAGGCAGAAGGAGAGGAAGGAGGAGATGGAGAGTCGGGCTGCTCCCAGAATACTCAGCTTGAACCGCTTCATCACATAGCCTCCCACGATGACCCCAATTCCCACCGCAGGCAGGTTCATCGAACCTGGACAGAGACAGACAAGTCAAGTTTGTAGTACATTTGCCATGCATCACATTTTACAACCACATACATTACAAACAAACACAAAAGGCTAAATAGAAAGATTTGTAATGACTGTCAGGAATGTAGTAGAATATATTCAGTTTGGAAGCATAGATGGATAAATGTGTTTCAGTATGATTTATAATGTCTAGCATGTGTAAAACTAATGCATAGCAGAGTATTGTAAACACACTAATGTTACTGCTGAGAGTATAAGTTGTGTGGGAAAGGTGTTGCATGACAGTCATGTACAGTATGAGCTAGATACTCGTGGTGGTGAGTAATCAGGTTAGCTACTGTACTATCTAATAACAGTTCAGAGTGCTCTTTCAGTTTAAAGTTGCCGCCCGCACATGTACACACAAACTTGTAGTCATGTTAATCTCAGTCACATGTTCTTTCAATGACAACATTGCTTCGGCTTTCTTCTGAGTGAAGGAGAGTAAAGGAGAGATAAAGTGTCTGTGTGTGTGTGTGCCTCCTGTACTGTAGCCTACCTATCAAGAAGATTGCCTTGGAGGGAGACTGCCCGTAGACCTGCTCCATGAACTTGGGTTTGAAGGTGATCATCCCTATGAAGCCATTGAATGCCACCACGGACGTCAGGATGATCAGCAGGTAAACTTTGTTCAGCAACAGTCTTTTCAGGGACGGCCCAAATTCTGGAAATAACAATAAATAATACAATTCAGAAAGCATTGAGAAAGGCATATTGTAATATTCAGTAGCATCAAAATAGTTGGAGGCAGGAAAATCAAATGTTTTTAGGGTGTATCATGCTTCAACAATACATTGATCACTCTAGTATAATTTCATAGATAAGGTATCCACCATATAAATTAAATGTGGTCGATGGAATGTTGTATTTGTAATCATTTGGCTGCAGTCAGAGTCTGTACTGTCGCAAGTAGTGGCCAAAGCATAAGTGACCAGCACTAAGGTGTCTGTGTTATAGCTCGCATAAATTAGTGATTAAATGGGGTCAGGTGTGGGGGTCTGTTAAGGGTCAGTGGTCAGACTCTGGGTCAGGTTTGTCTAGGCTGTAATGTCCATCAATGATTGAGGACACTGCAAGAATTCTACTGCCCCAGTTCCATTAGTCACTAACCTCTTTCCCCAGCACCTAACAACTGTGATCACAGATTTGAAAGTATTGGACAGATGAAGGTTAGTTAGCAGAAACTCAATTTTGGGCAAGGTGGAGTCATTACTACTTCCAGCACCTATCCCACCTTCTCTGAAGCTAGGTGAAGGGGCTAGGAATCTAAATGGAACCAATCCCACAATACCTTTAGCCATGGCAGCCATGGTGACAGGCTTTGGTGCATCCTCCTCAGTATTGTCCTCTGGTAGGAAACTGCCCTGCTCCTGCTCCTCCTCTTGGGTGTCAGAGGAGTTCTTGGCCTGTGTGTCCTCCTTCTGTTTCTTTTTGCTGGGGCTCTTGCCCTGCTTAGGCAGAGTATTGGGGAGGAACCAAAATGGAATCCCAGCCAGGAGCATCAGGAAGCCAGATACCAGGAAGCCTAACCACCAGGCTCCCACCCAGCGAGAGTCCTTGTGGTTGATGGAGATGCTCTCTGTGGGTAGGACAGAGATAAAGATGTGGGTGAATATGATGGTGAACATGGTCAATTGATCAGACATTCCCTTAAAATAACTAACTGGACAGCTGAATTTATAATCTGAAATAATATCAATAATATCAATGTTATCAAATAATGCTCAAAATATGGAGAATCAGTTATATGGCTCAATTAGCTCTACAGAAATCCCTGGTAGTCTTAGCTCTCTAAGGAGCATCATTACTAATGTTTGTACAAAACAAATTCTCCAGTTGAATAAACGCTGAGAGTGTTACATTTAACACTGTTCCAGTGTCTATACGGGTCCACCCTTTTCAGTGTTAAATTAACACTTTGCTTAGTGTAAAGCCTTATTTGCATATTTCCCAGTGTGCCTTGCCTTGTGTAAAATGTAGAGTTACCACCAATTACTGTATTTGTTAGTGACAGAGACATGGTTGTTGCATTCATTCATTTTCAATCCTGTGGCCTTCACCAGGTGAGATCCTAAGCAAATATTTTTTCATTAAAATGCAATTCGATAAGACTGAGTGTACAAAACATTAAGAACATCTTCCTAATATTGAGTTGCCCATTCACCCTCTGAATGGCACACAATCCATGTCTCAATTGTCTCAAGGCTTAAAAATCATTCTTTAGCCTGTCTCTTCCACTTCATCTACACTGATTGAAGAGGATTTAACAAGTGACATCAATGTGGGATCATAGCGTTCATGTCACGGATTCAGCAGAGGCTGCTCCTCCTCCTTGCTCGGGCAGGCTTCGGCGTTCGTCGTCCCCAGAGTTCTAGCTACTACCGATCGATGTTTCGGTGTTTGTCTTGTTTGGTCTTTATTGTTTACACCTGTTTCCCATTATGTTACATTGAATTCCCTTTAAGTATCCCTGTCTCTCATTGTTTGTTGTGTGTGATTGTTTTCCGTGAGGTCGGCAGTTGCTGTTTGTATGCGCATATTGTTCCTCCCTGTTAAGAGGTTTTGTTTTGTATGTTCCTTTACTGTGCTAGTAAAGTACGTCTGCCAGTAGCTCGGTGTCCTGCGCTTGACTTCGTTCACCGCATACACGTCACCTTGGCAGTAGAATGGCCTTACTGAAGAGCCCAGTGACTTTCAACGTGGCACCGTCATAGGATGTCACCTTTCCAACAAGTCAGTTCGCCCTGCTAGAGCTGCCCCGGTCAACTGTAAGTGCTGTTATTATGATGTGGAAACGTCAAAGAGCAAAAATGTCTCAGCTGCGAAGTGGTAGGCCACACAAGCTCACAGAACGCCGACATTGGACTCTGGAGCAGTGGAAATGCGTTCTCTGGAGTGATGAATCACGCTTCACCATCTGGCAGTCCGACGGACGAATCTGGGTTTGGCGGATGCCAGGAGAAAGTTACCTGCCCGAATGCATAGTGCCAACTGTAAAGTTTGATGGAGAATAAATAATGGTCTGGAGCTGTTTTTCATGGTTCGGTTTAGGCCCCTTAGTTCCAGTGAAGGTAAATCTTAACGCTACAACATACAATGACATTCTAGACTATTCTGTTTTTCCAACTTTGTGGCAACTGTTTGGGGAAGGCCCTTTCCTGTTTCAACATGACAATGCCCCCATGCACAAAGCAAGGCCCATACAGAAATGGTTTGTTGAGCTCGGTGTGGAAGAACTTGACTGGCCTGCACAGAGTCCTGACCTCAACCCCGTTGAACACCTTTGGGATGAATTGGAACACAGACTGCGAGCCAGGCCTAATCGCCCAACATCAGTGCCCGACCTCACTAATGCTCTTGTGAATGGAAGCAAGTCCCCGCAGCAATGTCCCAACATCTAGTGGAAAGCCTTTCCAGAAGAGTGGAGGCTGTTATAGCAGCAAAGGGGGGACCAACTCCATATTAATGCCCACGATCTTGGAATGAAATGTTCGACGAGCAGGTGTCCACATACTTTTGGTCATGTAGTGTAGATAGGCTAATTCCTATCTTAATGAAAACAGATTTAAATGTCTCTCGGTTTAGAAATGACCTTCAGCACCCAACAGGTCCCAACCAATAAACCGAGATGACCCATCAGCAAACAGACCATACACAAACAACTATCCTCTCCCATGATTTAGCAACATCACAGAAGTTAAACGCAACATGTAAAGTGTTGGTCCAACGTTTCATGATCTGATAGAAAGAAAAAAAATCGCAGAAATGTTCCATACGCACAAAAAGCTTTTTTCTCTAAAATGTTGTGCACAAATTTGTTTAAATCCCTGTTAGTGAGCATTTCTCCTTTTCCAAGATAATCCATCCACCTGATAGGTGTGGCATATCAAGAAGCTGATTAAACAGCATGATCATTACACAGGTGCACCTTGTGCTGTGGACAGTAAAATGCCACTTTAAAATGGGCAGTTTTGTCACACAACACAATGCCACATATGTCTCATGTTTTGAGGGAGCATGCAATTGGCATGCTGACTGCAAGAATGTCCACCAGAGCTGTTGCCAGAGAATTTAATGTTAATTCCTCTACCATAAGCCGAGGAGGCAATGTCGTTTTAGAGAATTTGGCAGTACGTCCAACCGTCCTCACAACCGCAGACCACGTGATCTTCTTCTTGATTTGCACAAGACAGCTTATATAAAATAGACAATGTATGATTTGTTAATTCAAGGGTTGGTTACCTAAATTCACAGAGCCAATATCCACATATATCTTGGCACAGAAGGCGCCAAACGTGAAGCCAAATACAGGCCCCAGGATGCCAACAGTCTGTAAACATGCTGAGGAAGAGGAGACAGAGAGAGTTGGTCAGATACAGTTCAAGCAAAAGAGAAGACAATAGATTTAACTGAAGTCCGATCAGTAGTTTGGCCATATTCGTTTGTCATATGGTTTGCCATAGCTGATACATCTAAATCAGCTACTGATATTTGTAGGATAGAAGATTTTGATATGGAATGCCTGAAAAGGTTGTTTCTAACCAAGGTTAACATGATTTGCCAGACTAAAATACAGTTTGATACAAATCAAGTTACACCAGCTCACATTTTGATGTGTTAAGTGTTGGGTAAAGTTGCCCCAAGTTGCTGATCTTGGGTCAGTTTTGCATTTCCCCCACTAATGGTTAAGTTTAGGATTGAGGAGGGGAATCCTAGACCTACGCTTAGGGGAAACTTCAACCGGGAGCGATGTGGTATGGAAGAGGTTGAAGAGATACAGTATAGTGTAAAAATATGTTTACTATCCAATGTTGATATGGTACACCTGACAGTTTTTTTTTTACTAACCAAGATAGATGGCATTGTTCTCCTTTCGGGCGTAGTCGTCCAGATAGGACACTCCTAAAAGCATGACAGGCGTCTCTCCAATCCCACGCAGCATGTTAACCAGGAATACATAGATCCACATGGACGAGCCTGCCTCCTTCTCACACGTTGTGGGAACACAATTTCTCCTTAGAACACTGTTTCTTAATCCTGGGGACCCAAAGGGGTGCACATTTTTGTTTTTGCCCTATTAATAAGACACTTGATTCAACTGATCTACTCAACAATCCTTTCATTTAAATCAGGTGTGTTAGGGCTAGGACAAAAACAAAAAAGTACACCATTTTGGGTTCCTAGGACCAGGATTTGGGAAAAAATTGCTTATATAACTAGGATAGGGTAGCATCAACTTTTCTGGAATGGAATGAATGGAACGGAGTCAAACGTACTTTCCATAGGTTCGATACCGTTCCATTTATTCCATTCCATATATTCCATTGAGCCCGTCCTCCTATAGCTCCTCCCATTAGCCTCATCTGGTTTGCCTGTAATACTTTATCTACACTTAAATTCATAAGAATCATTTACCTAACAAGGTTCCCAGACACAGCCAGACTGATGCTGTAGTGATGGTGATTGACTCGTTACCTGCTTTACTCGCAGCTGTAGCCTGATCATTTATGACAAGATGACTCGTGTTGGCCAGACAAGGCAGAATACTCTCTGTAGTGTTTTCCTCAGGTATATGTGACAGGGTTGTTTCATATACATACCTGCATGGGAAAGAAATGAAATGTATCTTTCCTCTATAAAGTGGTACAGTAGTTTTGAGAAGTTATGTGAAGCCACATATCCCTTCTTTATATCCAAGCATTTCTTTGTTGCTTTTTGTACCACTTCTTCAGAAGTGTTAAGATTTTCTTTAAATTCTTTATTGTCACGCCTTATGTTTACTTACATGGTTATACTATGCACAAATATACAGTCTATAGATAGTCAATAAACCAAATAAGAGGTAGACTTACTTTCCCTGGAAGAAGTGTGGCAGAGCGGTGAGGAAGGCCCCAGCAGCCATGATGAGACAGCCAATCCCTATCAGTCTGGGCCTGTGGAGCTTCGCCCCAAAGTAACTCACAAATGCTATCACCAGCAGGTTACCTGGTAGGAGAGAGAAGAAACAACCATGGTATAATCAATGAGTAATGTTTATGGAGCTAAAGTTAAAAGGCAAAACCTCACAGGGCACAGGCTTTTATTGTTCAGAATCAAATAAACCCCTATATTTCTTGGATTATATATCTGAAAGGATTGTGAGAAAATTCAACCTAGCCCATCACAGTGCTTTAACTTTCAACCTTATTTGTCCCAGAGGAATTTTGGTTGTGCAGCAAGACCACACATAAAAACACCCAAAATAGGTGGAGCCCTATAACTGTACTGCTTACACACTTTCAGATGTTCAGGACAAGTATCTCGGGCTAAGGGCGAGGGGTTGATGTCCTCTTGAAGAACAATAAACATCATCTATTGATTTCGGGGACTGGGTAAATACGGCTTTAGGACTAGGTACTTAGGAAATTAGGATTTAGGTCTACCCATCTCAAAGCTGCCATCGATGAATCCTATGAGTGAGCTTGGGATGTCGAAGCGTCTCTCTATCTGGGTGATAGAACTCTTCATGTAGCTTCCCCCGAAGTCTTTGGCGAAGTACACAAAGGACAGGGAAACCAGGAACAGCTTTGAAAATAAACACAAAGCAGAGTTAGATGAAGCCAATGTCCCTAGAGTCTAGATGTTGATCTGAGGCCAGATGTGTGTTTCCCAGATTATGGTTAATATTGGGGTTTGGGAAGGATAAACTGATGTCCTAAAACTACCCAGAGCACACAAAACAACATTGAGGGGTCAGGAAAACATGAGTTTGGTTTGTTTGACACCACTTCCACTGTCCTACATTCAGTTGACTGTTAATCAGACAGAACATCTACTGTAGTTCAAGACAATCCTAAATCAACGAGTAATACCTAGACACAGAAAACAAGACTCTGACCCATTTGGAATAGGTGTTTTCATCCAACCATGTGCTCATGTCGCCTGAGTTATTGAGTCATAACAGACAAAGTAGCAGGTTATCCACCAGATCTAGGGAATAACTTGTGTATGCATCTATTAGTGAATGTATGTGTGTATACAGTGTGTATGGCTGAATAAATACAAACCAAATGTTTAGGTTGAAAAACTACTGGATGACACAGCAAAACATGTAACTCTTGTATCTGCCCCCTCCTCTCCACCCCTCCTACTTTTTCACCTATTTCCCCATTTAGCATCCCTCTCCATCAGTCCCTTCAGTTCAGATATACACTACCGGTCAAAAGTTTAAGAACACCTACTCATTCAAGGGTTTTTCTTCATTTTTACTATTTTCTACATTGTAGAATAATAGTGAAGACATCAAAACTATGAAATAACACATATGGAATCATGTAGTAACCAAAAAAGTATTGAATGATGAGGTGACTTATTCCTTATTGCTCCTAATGAATTTAAGCCCAGTGTTGGCAACATTAGTTCTGGTCCAACAGGTGGAGGGGAAATCCCTCCCTATATGAGTTTACTTATTCCTTTGAGCTCCTAAATAGGGTTAGAGTTAAGGTAAGGGGTTTGTGGTTAAGGCTAGGTTTTGAATAGGATTGTGTTTTAGGCCTGTGTGCACTGGAAAGCAAACTAGCTGACCTATCTCCTATTCATCCCCCTCCCTTATTTCTGATCCAGCAGGTGGCAATGAAAGCCCTCCCTATATGACTTGACTGACCAGTTAGTTGACTGACTCCTTATAGCTCCTAATGATTTTAAGCAGTGTTGGTAACATTACTTCTGGTCCAACAGGTGGAGGGGAAATCCCTCCCTATATGAGTTTACTTATTCCTTTGAGCTCCTAAATAGGGTTAGAGTTAAGGTAAGGGGTTTGTGGTTAAGGCTAGGTTTTGAATAGCATTGTGTTTTAGGCCTGTGCACTGGAAAGCAAACTAGCTGACCTATCTCCTATTCATCCCCCTCCCTGTAATAACACATCTGTTATTTTGTATGTAATACTACTCCAATGTTATTGGTCACATACAATGTCCTCAGAGCCTGAGGAGGAGTCAGAGGGAGGAGAATCCTGGTGTTCAGGGGCCTCAGGAGGGTCACAGCCGGTGGCGGACGAGGCACCTGACCGGGCTGCCACAGAGGTGGAGGACGAGGCGACTGGCCTCCTGAAATCACTCGTCCTCCAAGGGTCCCTCGGTGGTCTGGGCGTACAGGTACTCAACACCAATGAGTTCCCCTGCGATGTAGTGGGAGAGCACACAAAGCTTAATGACATAAAAACGCATCACACGTTTACACAAACCTATGACATGATCAACGTACCTGTGTACACACCAGGCTTGGTGAAGTCCTCAACCTGACCTGAGCCATGCACCCTTTGACTGAGCTGGGTGAGGGAGTGCTGCAGGTTGCCACTGTAGCAGAGCAAAGGCTGCTTCTGTCGTTGTGTGAAGAGTCATCTCCCTCCTCCCCAAGTGGCTGTAGACCTCTGTGTCAATAAGGCCAACCATTCGCAGCTTCCCCAGCTCGGACCACTTGGCCTCCAGCAGTTGACGGACATCTCCTGCATCCCATTCAAAAATGCAGGACGACAGCTACCGCATGAAGGCCCTATACAGCTGGTGGCTTTCGGTGGTGACACCTGCTACGAACCGCAGCAGCAGATGCCAGATGTCAAAACGAACCACGAGCTGGTCCCATTCAGGAAACATGGAAGCTGTCTTCGATCCGCCAAAGCTGGAGCAACAGTCCCGGTCCACGTACATGAGCTGGGGGGGTGGTACCCCAGTGAGTTGGTACCGCTTCATAAGGCCCTCGCCCTCACCAGCAGTGAGGACATGGTTGAGGACATGCCCGTGTTCATTCCCCACGTTTGTGGCCCAGGCAGCCGTGTCCGAAGCATAACCGGCGAGCTTCTTGGTCACCTGAAAAGAGAAAGAGAGGGGGAGAGAGTGAGCATCAGTGGGATGCGGAGGAATGAAATGATGGAATACTTTCAATATGGTGTGACAAAAGTGTTACCTTCTTCGTGGAGTCCATCTTTAAGATGGACCTGAAGACAGAGGTAACCCTGGCCTTCACCTCGGCAAGCCGCGACAGCACATCCATGCTGTACACTGTCAGCAGCCAGACGGGTGAGGGCACCACCAGCATTTCTGGTAGTGGTGGGAACTGTGGCCGGATGGTGCCCGAGGCCAGGAAGTGCTCGAACTCGCCGAGGTACTGTATGGACCGTCGCATCCAGGCTTCGCTGTGGCCCTCACACAGCTTGTTGTATAGCTGAGTTGCACTGTTCCCCAAATCACGCTCCCTCAGCATTCCCACAACTGCCAGGTCACAGGAATGCCTGGAGAGAGGGGCAGTGAGAAAAGGGTGAGGGACATTTAGTGTACTCAACTGTCTTACAGCAGTAAAAATAAAATTATGCATTTTAACACTTACCTGTAGGTCAGAATCGCTGGAAACTGGCAGCGATGCGCAGGGTCCAGCTGACCCAGGACGTCCTGCGACCAGCCCGCCACCTTCTTCTTACACCGTGGGCACTCCAGGTACTCAGTGGCCATGAGATACCAACCCTTGATGTCCAAGACCCTCCGGATAGTCTTGTAAAGCCCAGCGTTGGTGAGGGTGGTGTTACACACAGGCTGGGTGCATGTCAGCTTGAATGCCCACATACGAACGGGCATCCAGAGGAACAGCGGACATGCAAAGAAGGGGTCGGGGAGGGTACCACCACGGACGCAAGTCTGTGATGAATAAGGACCTCCCTGAGCTGCTCCTGGTAAACAGTGTCCAGCCAATCCACCGCTGCTGCTCCTTGTTGAGAGTTTCCCGCTAGCTCTCTGGAAGCTGCAGCTGCATTAAGAGAGAGGAGTTAAAGAGAGTTCAAAGTACAATAAATGGAAGATTCATTTTCCAGCATGACACAATAAAAATATCCAATTACCTTTTGTAAGATTTGCGATGTTACTTTATTCACCTCAGCACTTTCTTGGGCAGGCCTTGGAGGCAGGAAGGACAGCCGGGGCACATCCCCCTCTTCTTCTCTTCACCCCACCAGGGTATGGACAGAAGCCTGGGATAGATTCAGGGGGTCCCGGTCCAGGGAGGCACGGGATGGGTCATCAGCTGGACGGGAGGCAGGAGGCAGTGGTGCAGGGACCTGTACGTTCAAGGCTTCATACCTAATACATAAATCAGCAAAAAGTGATGATTATGCTCCCCAAGGATGTGATCAGGACAACAGAATCAGTTAAAGCAATATATTGATTTAGGGTTAGGGAATTGAAACAAGTTAAGCTCAGGTTGATGTCAGAAAAGCAGGAAAACACTGGAAAAGAGCATTGGAGTGGAAACAATGTCACAATGTGTTCGGAATCTAATCTATGTTATAGATTTTTTTTAAATAACATGGCACATTTTTTCACAATGTGAGAGTAACATCATGAAAATACCAAGTAACAACTACAAATAATATTAGTATAAAAGTTGGAAAAGAATGGAGAGTGATACCAAGTGCCAACTACAAATAATATGAGTATCAAAGTTGGAAAATAATGGAGGGGGATACCAGCACCATGACAGGAAATGCTTTGATATGGAGTTTCTCACTCAAACCTACCTTACCCAAGGTACCTTCCTTAGTCTGATGAATATTACAGCGACAAAACAAAATAGGTTACATTACATAAAAAGGTTATTTCCGTCAGTCAGAATCCAAAACTTGATTTAAAAATATCATTATTGCAGTAATTAACTTACACTTTTCAACTTCTATGGCCACAACGACCAGCTCTGCATCTGAGGTCTCTGCGGGTTGCAGAGCTGGTCGCAGATCTGTTCGGGAAGCAGACAGCCCTTTACGACAAAAAGAACAGAGTATGAGATAAATGGTTGTCAAAAAAAGATTGAGATCTCATTACAATGCTCCAGTGTGTAGACACTTACTTGGAACTGCAGTCTTCGGGGCCAAGATCTTCTTCACCGTCGACTGCAGTTTGCCTGGGGGCACCGAACGCTGCCCCAAAAACACTGCGATCGCTGGACCAAGTGGTCTTTAATAACAAACAAAACAGAGACAACAAGCACCGTTATTCTCTATAAAAATCAAATAACTGGTTGTTTTTATCATTACTGATACCACATCTAACTCTGGCCATCATCTCTGCTTTCTCCTCATCTGTTACTGCCATATCCTCCCCACTCGTCAACACTGGATAATCCCACTCCCTTCTGATCCCACTCATCCTCTTAATCATCCCCCACAGGTGTCGCCCTTCCAATGGTGTCACAGAACCGATGCCAACATGACCTCCTTGCCTGACGGATAGTTCTCCTCACCATGGCCTGGTCCTGCTTATACTGAATCAGATGTTGGAAGTTATGCGTCCTTTTCAGTACTCTAAATGCCCTGTTCCTAATCCTCACCATTGCCCCACATTCCTCCGTACACCATGGGACTGCTTTCCTCCTCCTCCTCCTCCCTGAACTCTTAGGTATAGCCTCAGTAGCTGCCCCCGCTAACGCTGTTCTCACCCAGTTATTCATACTATCTACATCCCCTCTCATAGCCATCACCTGCTCACGCAGCTCCTGAAACTGATCCCACTTTGCCCTTCCAAACACCCACCTGCCTACTCCATCCACGAATACCTCCTCCTCCCTCCGGCCTACTGTGCATACAATGGGGTAATGATCACTCCCTACTGTCGACTCCTCCCATACCTCCCACTCACATATTCCTGCCATCGCACTAGATACCAGAGTGAGGTCTAAGGCAGACTCTTTCCCTGTGGCTACATCAATCCTGGTCCCTCTGCCATCATTCAGGCACACATTTTCCATCACTTGGCCATTTCCATCCATCCGCCCCCCCCCCCCCCCCCCCCCCCCCAAAGCGTGTTGTGGGCATTAAAATCCCCACACCACATTACCTTACTTCTTTCCTGGCCCTCCACCCTCTCCAGCACTTCCATGTCCAATATCTGACACGGATTATAATAATTCACTACCACCCCTCCTCTCATCCACACCTCCACCACCACATACTCCTGTTCAATACCTTTGCCTATCATTTTGTAGGGAATTCCTTGCTTTATGAAGGTGGCACACCCACCCTCCCCCTATATCTCGGTCCCTACGAACCACTACATATCCCTGTATGATAAACCACATTCAGTTTGAGCCATGTTTCCTGCACACAAATCACATCAGGCTTAGCTATCGTATCAACAATGAACTGCTTGAATTCCTGCCCATTAGCCAACAGGCGTCGAGCATTCCATTGTAGTACTACCACCATAACTAAGATCCAGTAATACATGACTCCACCATCGGCTGATTGAGGTCATCTCGAACCTCTTCCCATGTCAACCCTGTCACTCAAATGTCTCCCAGCAGCTTTCACTATTAGTTTAATCCTCTCCGTTTTAGACTCTCCTTTATCAGTGCTATTGATAGCTCCTGCTATAAACATCACCAGCTTTCTCTTTTCTATGTATACCATATCGCTGCCCACCTGCTGATTGCCAACAAGGGTTTTGCCAGAGGGGTCAAATACTTATTCCCCTCATGCAAATCAATTTATAACATTTTTGCATGCGTTTTTCTGGATTTTTGTTGTTGTTATTCTGTCTCTCACTGTTCAAATAAACCTACCATTAAAATTATAGACTAATCATATATTTGTCAGTGGGCAAACGTACAAAATCAGCAGGGGATCAAATACCTTTTTCCCTCACTGTAGATGGTAAATGGTTGGTGGTTGTCGTCTGTGTTGAAGTCAAAGTCGTCAAGCAGTTTGAGTCGTCTATGATATTTGGGAGTGTCCCTGTGAAGTTCCTCCCAATCAAATTTGGTTGGGCGAGGGATGAATGTCAACCCTCACTCCAAAAGCTGTGCCTGTGCTGTGGGGATAACCCTAACCCCAACTCTAAACTAACCCAACTCTAACCCAACTGTAACTCCACACTGCCCTAACCTTAACCCCCTTAACCTAACCCTATCTCTAACTTCAAACCTAACTAACCTTAACCCTACTCCACTCTAACCCTATTTCACCCTATCCCCAACCCCTACTCTAACAGAAGACCAGTCGGAACGGAGGAGCCACTGATGTAGCAACAACACAAACAACGGACCAATCGGAAGAGCCTCTATTACCTGGAGTCCCGCCCACCAGCCCTATACAAGCAGCGTACCTCCACTCTACTCTATATATACACTCTGTTACAAGTCTCTCCACGAACATCTGGTAATCATCATGGTCACTTCCATTCTTTGATGTTATTACTCTTTAACCCAAGTCAGTATATCCTGTCCATCAATCATGCTATCATAAACATCAGTAATTTCCTTTGACATAACGGAATGTAGACTCCGTGACACCAAGCCACTTATCTAGTAACTCTAACCTGGTCCCCACTATACTATGACATGACATCATTACATAACCTAAACCTAAATTGAATTGGACACCAGAAGCTTAAGGACCATGTCCTGGACACATTGAACGTGTAATGTAATTGCACCATAATTTTGGGAATATAGGCCTCCTGACAACATTTTTGAGTTGGCCTCCATCCTCACCCTGTCACCGTTCAAATAGGTTTGGCCCTAACCAATTGGGGCATTACTACACTTAGCAATCTGTATTATTCTCACTGTTAGGCTGCCTACATAATGCCAAAGAGTAAGCATGTCTACCACCTAAACACCACATACAGTGAGGGAAAAAAGTATTTGATCCCCTGCTGATTTTGTACATTTGCCCACTGACAAAGACATGATCAGTCTATAATTTTAATGGTAGGTTTATTTGAACTGTGAGAGACAGATTAACAACAACAAAATCTAGAAAAACGCATGTCAAAAATGTTATAAATTGATTTGCATTTTAATGAGGGAAATAAGTATTTGACCCCTCTGCAAAACATGACTTAGTACTTGGTGGCAAAACCCTTGTTGGCAATCACAGAGGTCAGACGTTTTCTTGTAGTTGGCCACCAGGTTTGCACACATCTCAGGAGTGATTTTGTCCCACTCCTCTTTGCAGATCTTCTCCAAGTCATTAAGGTTTCGAGGCTGACATTTGGCAACTCGAACGTTCAGCTCCCTCCACAGATTTTCTATGGGATTAAGGTCTGGAGACTGGCTAGGCCCCTCCAGGACCTTAATGTGCTTCTTCTTGAGCCACTCCTTTGTTGCCTTGGCCGTGTGTTTTGGGTCATTGTCATGCTGGAATACCCATCCACGACCCATTTTCAATGCCCTGGCTGAGGGAAGGAGGTTCTCACCCAAGATTTGGCGGTACATGGCCCCGTCCATCGTCCCTTTGATGCGGTGAAGTTGTCCTGTCCCCTTAGCAGAAAAACACCCACAAAGCATAATGTTTCCACCTCCATGTTTGACGGTGGGGATGGTGTTCTTGGGGTCATAGGCAGCATTCCTCCTCCTCCAAACACAGCGAGTTGAGTTGATGCCAAAGAGCTCCATTTTAGTCTCATCTGACCACAACACTTTCACCCAGTTCTCCTCTGAATCATTCAGATGTTCATTGGCAAACTTCAGACGGGCCTGTATATGTGCTTTCTTGAGCAGGGGGACCTTGCGGGCGCTGCAGGATTTCAGTCCTTCACGGCGTAGTGTGTTACCAATTGTTTTCTTGGTGACTATGGTCCCAGCTGCCTTGAGATAATTGACAAGATCCTCCCGTGTAGTTCTGGGCTGATTCCTCACCGTTCTCATGATCATTGCAACTCCAGGAGGTGAGATCTTGCATGGAGCCCCAGGCCGAGGGAGATTGACAGTTATTTTGTGTTTCTTCCATTTGCGAATAATCGCACCAACTGTTGTCACCTTCTCACCAAGCTGCTTGGTGATGGTCTTGTAGCCCATTCCAGCCTTGTGTAGGTCTACAATCTTGTCCCTGACATCCTTGGAGAGCTCTTTGGTCTTGGCCATGGTGGAGAGTTTGGAATCTGATTGATTGATTGCTTCTGTGGACAGGTGTCTTTTATACAGGTAACAAACTGAGATAAGGAGCACTCGCTTTAAGAGTGTGCTCCTAATCTCAGCTCGTTACCTGTATAAAAGACACCTGGGAGCCAGAAATCTTTCTGATTGAGAGGGGGTCAAATACGTATTTCCCCCATTAAAATGCAAATCAATTTATAACATTTTTGACATGCGTTTTTCTGGATCTTTTTGTTGTTATTCTGTCTCTCACTGTTCAAATAAACCTACCATTAAAATGATAGACTGATAATTTCTTTGTCAGTGGGCAAACGTACAAAATCAGCAGGGGATCAAATACTTTTTTCCCTCACTGTACACTGACAGAGTACAACGTTATAGAGGGCCAGATTAGAGTCAGCACACAAGTCATTGCAGAGGACAGTACATCAGCACAATCTACTCTGTCTGATGAGAGACTATAGGGAGGACAAATTGTGTAAGGCATAAAACATTGACAAAAGAGTAGAGGGCATGAGAAGACCTCAGCAACCATTTTCCACACCCTTTCATTTCTTATCCACATGATGTGGCTGGTGTGTGTTGTGGGAGGAGACAATAGGAGACAAGTAAGATGACAAGGCATATGAGGAGAACAAACAATAGGCAGGAAGAGGGACTGTCTTAGACCTCACTAGCCACCTCTTTCCTAACCGTGCCATTTCCCTAGTTTCAAAATTATGTGTGTCTTAGAAGTTAGGCCTACTAACAGTGATGTTCAGATGCACCAGTTAACCCTATTGTGGAAAACAATTTTATGCTGTGCAACAAACAGGCAGATGCCACCCAACATGCCAAAATCAATTATCGTTGGAGCACTGCTGTTAACACTGCCTGAAGATGTACCTGGAGACCATGAGCTCCCTTAACACCACAATATTATAACACAGACAGATGACTGAGTATATTACAGTATAGACTGCTATATGAATGTGCTCAGTATTAGTACTGTAAGTAGAGGTTATCATGACGGCATGTTCTCTCAAAGCAAACCAGGGAGCAAAGTTCAAAGCCAAGCCAAGCCATTTAGCAGTTCATCATGCGTTGCTTTGTAAACGTCTAATGACTTCAAGATAATTAATACGAGTCATTCAACAGAAGAGTCATTGTCTGTTCTTTTGAGTTTTGATGTTGAGTCTTTGCCCTACAAAGTAATGTTAGGATATATAAGTTATCCTGTAAGAGCTTTTGTGCCGACTACATTACGTTGTTACAGGTGTCAAGCTTATGGGTATGTGGCAGCAGTGTGTAGGAGGGAGAAGTGTGCAGAAGGGCATGAGACAAAGGAATGTGTAGCTTTGGGGAAAGTAGTGGTATGTGTTAATTGTAGGGGTGCCATGGGGCTTGGGATCAGAAATGTCCTGTGCGAGAGATGCAGGTTGAATTTCCAGGGTTTGAGTAGTGCAGAAGTTGTCATATGCTGAGGCAGTGAAGAAAGTAGAGGAAGATGGGTCAAGGGGGAGGGATCCTAAGAGGAGTGGTGTGAGTAGTAGAGCTGTACCATTACAGAGGGATAGGCCAATAAGTGATATATGTTTCTTTAAGATTGGATTTTTAGCGTTCATAGCAACGGTTATTAATTGTACTGCAGGGATGGAACGTAAGTCGAAGAAAATTGAGGTTGTGGTGGCAGCTGCAGAGAGGTATTTGGGTGTGCGAGACTTGACATCAGAAGAGTTACAGGGAGTGTTAAGTGGTGATGTCCCATAATTTCAGGTTGAGGGCATGAGGTAGGAATGAGTATATTTAAATAGTGGAGAAGGGTGGTGTTAATTATTAATAACAATTTTGAATTTGTGAGAGTAGTGTTAGATGGTAGGGTATTTCTTTATTTTATTGTATTTTCTAAAGCAAAATATAAGGGAGTTGTACTCCAGTCTAGTAGGTGGCAGTAATGCAACAAATTGCCTGAGAAACTGCAAGAAAGGTATGTTAGCTTGTTTGACTAACGTTGACTAGTTAACTACATAAGCTAGCTATGACCTAAAAACTCTACTAACATAATTTAGATCTATAATATTGCTGCCACGATTGTAACGGCAATTAGCTATCCAATATCCGCAAGTACGTTGATGATAGAAACATGGTTAACTAATGTTACTAGTCTAGCAAGTTAGCTAGCTAACTTAGTTTGTTTGGAACTGTATCAAGTGCAAGCAAGATGGCTACATGTACCCGTCTTCGATTTTATATCTGTTTTGGATTGGTTTATTGAAATATTTCCAGCCACAGCAGCGAAAGAGAAAGGGGGAGCAGGGACAATAGTGTCAGGTAACGTTAACGTAACTAGCTAACATCGAATCAACCTAAATTAAATTAAAATACTGTTTTTTTTCTTTTTTTTTAGGGGGTAGATCAGCTTTAATATTTCAGATAGATTGTAACTTCCATCAATGTAATTGTCTGCATCACTTCCAATCCCCCATGTTTTTTTTCTCGCAAATATATATACACACATACACTTACACACACATCCTTTTTAAAATTATATTTCCCTTCATTACTTTCCAACCTCACCCCAATTGGAGTAAACTAGTGAACAACAACACTTTGGCCTCTACTTCCAGCCCATACATACTATATACATTTTATGGACACAGTCAAATTCTACAATAATTATATTTTGTTTGTTTTTACTCCTGAACTTCCTCCAATCATTTTCATGATGTCCATCTGGTTTGCTTCAATATGCCATTTTTCTAACTGTGCTCTTTCACAAAAGCTCTCAACCTAGAACCTATATACTTATTATGGACACAGTATGCTTAATAGTATTTGTATTGTTAATCCATTAGCCATACTCTCATTCTACCATCTTGTGCATTTATTTT